AAAAGATCATTATCATTTTAAAAATCAATTTTATAAAGTTAAATTGGTTTAAACCTAAATTTTAACTATTGTTATTCATTATTAAGATGGAATTAAAGTGAAAATGTAAAGTGTAAGAAAGTTGTTTCCATCCTTCATTTGACATATATTGAAGCGCGTGTATGATGAGCATGAAGAAGGTCCATTATTGGCATGTGAAAAGTGTCGAAGATGATGAAAAAGAAGCATGGAAAAAATAGCTTAAGATGTGATAAATATGGTGACATTAACCTCATTTGCAGAAGTGCTTATTTAAGATCTTAATATTAGAAAATTAGTGAGAAGATGAATTAGAAAGTGGTAAAAGTTTTAGGGTTGGATAAAATTTTAGAAAGTCGATATCTCGAGTTATAAAACTCCGATTGAGGTGATTTAAAAACAAGGTAAAAATTCTCGTTCTGAATTTTAATTTAGGCTAAAAAAATACTCAATTTGGACGAATAGAACGAAATTTATAACCACAAAATAAATATGAACAGAATTGAATTTTTTAGGTTCTCGTGAAGAAATGACAAGAGATGAATGTGAAAGGTCAAAGGAAATAATCATTTTTTTCAAATGAGGTAACTCAAAGGATGTAAAAGTATTTTGATACCGTCAAAAGTTCTTGAACCATTCAATAACTTGGGAGAATTACCATCACCAAGATAAAATAATTAAACTCTAATATTTTTAAATAAAACTCATTTTGTATTTTTGATAAAAATGGTTAGAAACTTTGTCAAGTTAAAAATATTCAATAAAAGAAAATAAATGCTAATAATGATCCAATAATCTAGAAATTGAAAGGAATTGAAAATTACTTAATAACTTATTATAACTAAAGTAGTAATCAAAAGTCAATCAATTACGCGGTGTTTCAAAAACATAATTTCATCAATCAATTTTAAAAAGGATTTGATTATTATTTAAACAAACTTAATGACTGAAACAAAGTAACATATTAATTTTTCTCTATTTGGGATTATGATGTAATTTACAACTTTGTCTTTTCTCTTTTAAATGTGGACTTGTATTCAAATAATATGAATAACACTTGATGAAGAGTTTCATTTGTTTTTTTTTGCTCTCTAGCTCTTGTCATAGGTCTTCTAAATCCTTCAAATGAATTCTTACCTTTGTTCATAAATAATCATGCCCATCACATGGAGCTAACACATTGATGGATCCAACAAAACCAACACATTTTGCAAGGAAATATTGGCCTTTAAACACACAAAGTGAGAGTTGGTCTTTAAAAATTAGGTTAAAGTCCATGTCATCGGGTAAAAGATATGAAGGGGAGTCGATGAGAAGAATGAAGAAAAGGAGTACAGGACTTTGAGAGTAAAGCCAACATTTTCCGTGATTTTTCTTGATGATGTTTGAATCTACCCCACCATGGCAACTTATTTAATTGATTAATTCTCAGTCTCACTTTTTAGAAATAAAAAAAGTTTAATGGGCGGTCGAAATTTCATTAATGGAAGGTTAGTGGATTCCTTTCAATATAATTAGCTGATTGGGTTCCATGGAAAGAATATATTTGTTTAACAATGGCCATTCATGGGGGTGATTATAATATTGAGAGAGCTCGTAATTATTGGATTCACAAATAAGGGGTCCATCAAATTTCCGACTTTTGCTTTGGAATGTTGCATTCAAGTTGCTAACAATATTGGAATTTAATAATTGTGGATTAGGAACTAAGACACGTGATTCCATGTGAAATATGGGTCCTCCCATTGCTATGCCTCTAGGATGCTTTCACCACTAAAGTTTAACTTCTTTTAATGGGACTCATCAATTAAACCAACATGCTAAACTTTTCCTACACTTTAATCAACTATTCAAATTTAAGTTATATTCACATTTTTAAAGTTAACATTTTCGAGTTTAAGTTTTATAAATAAGATAATATTATTAAAAAAAAATAAAACAAAACAGAGTCATATATATTAGTCTTTCATATATAAACCCTAAGTATTCGGTACTAAAAAATTACTTAGTTCAATATTTTGTTTTCTAGTTAAAAGAAAAGTTAGTACTGCTAATCACATGAACTTTTGGATAAGTACATAATGAGTTTCATAAATCTGATAATCTATCTAGTTCTTTTATCATTGATAATCTTTCTATTAATTGCTATAACGTGATAAAGGGAGAAAATCATCATTGACCATCAATTGCTCTATATTTTATGTGATATCTCAAACAGAAAAAATTGCTTAAAATAGTTCATTTTTCCAGCATGGGTGTTTATATAAAATAATAACACATGATTGGTGTAGTATTTTTGTTATAATTTTAGGAAATTTTGAATGATTTTCTTGAAAAATATATCACGTTTTAGATACGATGAGAGTATTTCAAATTGATAATTTGTGTTTTGGAGGAAGTTTTATTTCTATTTAATGTAAATATATGTTGTTTGTTTAAATTTAAATGGGAATACCAATTTGTGAAATTAATTCATAAAGATAATAAAAGTTAATAAAAAAAATAGTTTGGTCACTTATAATTTTGTCATGGGGATAATTATGGATGGTCAAAGACCTTTAAATGAATTCATAAATAGAAAAGCTATAAATTTATCTCCACTTTTAATCTCTTACATATTTTAGTTGTATATGATTATTGTGATTCGACTTTTAATTATCTTAATTAGTCTTCACTTCACAATGTATAACACTGTTATGCTCTATTTATTAAAGGAAAAAAATGGTATAATTTATCTCAATGTGGTTTATTAGGTCTCATGGGAACAAAGACGAGTCAAACATCATGTATGCGACATATATTATAAAATTTAGGTTTTGTTCTTGATTAGCTGTAAAAATGAAGAGTTTTTCTTTTTCTTTTATAAGTGGTCTTCAGATTTTATAATGTGTTTAAAAATAATGATTTTAATTTTTTGTCTTTATACGAGATTATGTATCCCTCGTACTCATATATTTGCCCATCAAAAAATTACCTGAAATCGATCTTTCATACAATTTTAGTTTTTTTATCATTTTTAATTAAATATTTTAAAAATTTAGTAGTGTTGATGAAATGATGGGATGATTTATTTTCTAGTTTTTGCATGTCACATTTAAGCCACTAAATATGTATATAATCAATCAAAATCCAGAGATGACAAATGTTTTGAGTCCAAAACTAGAAATGGAAGAAGATGGATTATTTGATTTTAATAAAGCATTTCTAAATTGGGAGTTAACAAATGTTGTTAATTACGTATGTATAGACTGTGATTAGATGTTTAAGAAACCAAAAATAAAAAACGTTTATTTACCAATAAATTTGAAAAATATATAATAGAAAACAAGATTTTAATAGTGTGTAGCAAAAAAAAAAAAAAAGTGTGATTTGTACTTGGAACACTACAAGTAGGAAAGTTGGAAAACATTGATTATGGGTAGAGGAACACAATTTGAAGACAAGATCCCTTTTGAAGTTTGTTTTTGTCTTGGAAGATTGTGAAGGGTTAAAGTTGTGGATGGGGTGAATTGAATAATTCATCATAATTTAATTTTCCCATGTCACCTCAATCTTTTGTCGTTTTTTGTTTTCTTGATTCCTTTTGTTAACAAAACAAATCACCATGTCAACAACACTCTTCTTTCGCCACCACCTTCCATATTTTAATCCTATCACCTTTATGAACACCAAATTAGTTAATTTTTTTTTTACTTTTCATTAAAATGTATACTAGCTACTGTGTACATGGATATGACCAATTAAATATGCTTTACGTGCATGCATATATACCTTCCCCACGTAGTAATTCATCATTACTCGCTCAATTATATTTATATAACTAACAATGAAAGTAAAATAAATTAGCCATTGACCATAAATAAACCACGATAAATGCATACAAATAGTCATAACCCATCGTGCATGAGAAAACAATGAATCACACACACATGATAATTAACAAAGTGAAATACCACGAAATTGAAAAAAACTCAAATATTATTAACAACATTAATTTGATTTGGTGACCAAAGCCAAACCAAACCTATGGGTTCTCACTTCTCTCTCTTATCCTTCATGTTTCATGTGCCTTCCAAACCTTTTCAAACATCATTAATTAGTAAGATACAAGATCTGACACCTCAAACAGCTTCCATGACTCTCTAATAGTGAATCATATTTAGGGTTTATAATATTTATAATATAGCAATTCTTTTATATGGACATGAGTAGGACTTTCTATTTTCTTTAACCTATTTTACAGCAAATTACGATGTCATATCTCTAATAAAATAAGTGTTTAAATGTTTAATCTTCTATGACTTGCAAATACTGGATCTATGTAATAATGTTTATAATACCTATTTACATCAAGAATTTTTTTATTCCCATGACCAATAAAGACTGAAATTAGTTCGATTGAATTTTAAGGAACTAAAATAACGTGATTATGATACATAATAAATTTTAAAATGCAATTAGGTGAAAACTAAAATGTGACATTTCAAATTTTCTTATCTTGAAACGCAATGTGGGAAGAGAAAAAATTGAAGGAATAAATAAAAACAAGGGTCAATGTATTGAAGGTTTGTATGTCACACCAAACTACATCCATGTCCTCATGTGTTCCACCATTTTATTATGAGTAGTTGAATTAGTATGTAATGACCCTTAATGTGCTCAAACAGATAAGAAGGACAAAAGCAGCAATCACAAGAATAATATTAAAATGGTCTTGGAAAATAATTGGAAGCATATTTTAATGTCAGAACTAGGGACTTTGCACAAGGCACATACAGCCAAACCCTTATCTCTCTCTCCCTGTCTATTTTTTTTGTTTTTGGAAGAACCAATGTTTCCATTAATATATAATATTAATGTATGCTAGTTATGCACTTCTTGGAGAAAGAGTAAGTTTTTTTTCAATTATATGTTACTGTGTTGGCATGGACACAAAATCCTCCATTCTGGTCAAATGAACTTAGTTTTCTGGGGACTCAATAATGTTGAATACCTGTTTATGTGATGACAAAAGTGTCTGCAATTTGATCAAATCGATGTGCAAACAATTCAAAGAAGAGAGCCAAACTCCAAACAGTAGCGTAGCAGCTTCCACTTTGAAGAACAAATTGGAAAGGATGTTGGATTAATTAATGTATGTATATGCTCCCATTTCACACAATTTCAACACTTTAACTTCTGCATTACTTAGATGTTCATTAAAAATAAAACAATTAGCAGAATCTTTCTAGAAAGTCTGAGAGGCAGGTGCAGAGAAATCTGAAAGAAATGCGTATACGCAAGAATATTCTTCCTCAAATGTTCATTGAGATTTCAATTTTTAGATAAAATTTCACTTTAAAATATTGATTTTAAGTTGAAGTGATATTGAAGTTTCTTGATGCAAGAAAACCTGGAGCATGAACTCATCCAAACACTCTAAATATATATATAATTATAATTAATTGACTTTGACATCATGTTTTACAAGCTTTTCATCCAAATATATAAAAACTTGTTATCCTACACTTGTTTATATACATTAATTAGTTATAGTAATTAACAAGTTGTGAGTATGAACTTAAAGTACATGGCTTACACTCACAACATAGTTTTTTAACATTTACTCAATTCGTTGTTAACGTTTAGCCGTGTGTGGTTATAATAGTGAAAAATTAGGGCAACAATGTCTAAGTAATAATACTTAAGTCTTCACAAAAGAATTGCACAAATGTTATGCCATTTATAACAAAGATTAATTGTTACCTATGAAGTTTATAAATAATTAAAAAGGATTTAATTAAATAAAATGTTATTAGATAAACTAAGAAACATATTAATTAGCCCAATAGAGAAACTAATATAATATTAATATATACCAAGATGTAACTTAATCAAGTCTAACAAGTGTGAGATAAAATAATAGCTCATTCCAAAATATATAACCCTATTCCTAATCACCCAACTTCATTTTGAGGATTCTCATACACTCAAGTTAATATAATTCAAATGGGGTAAAATCTAAAGCTATCAAGTGAGTTTACAAATTGAATAGTTTAAAGAATAATAAGGTGGTAAGGAATTGCCATAATATAAAATCAAATTAAAGCATAATGTTAAATTATAAAAATTCTGTCATCTAAACGAAAATACAAACATAACTCGAATCATATAATTGAAGACAATATAAAAATTAACATTAAACTAAAATTTAAAATAATTGTAGACCATCATTTCTAAACATGCATTAATTAAAATAAAGTACATGCAATCTACTAGAACAAATTAATTGTTTGACTCCCACATTTTGCTTTTGGTTTAGGTCCTGTATATTCTGTGTCCAACGAAGTTGACCATGGTAATAAGCAAAATCATTTTATACAACGAATTCTTTTAATTTTTTAACTACTTTGAAAGAAATAAGAGTTTAGAAATAATATGAACATGTGATGGAAATAGATAAAAAGATATATATATTGGAAAGTGTTGTTAAAATTATTATATGAATAATATTTCCCAAACAATAATTGCCAACATAGAAAAGGTAACCCATCCTCTATTATTTTAAATCTTTTATATCAACTTTTACACCTATCGAAAGAAGCATATTTAATTTATTTATTTTTGTTAGATAGCTTGGTATTTTACTCAAGATTTAATATAATTTTTACTCTTATGGTTTACTTCAATTTTGAAAATAATTAATACACTTTGTGTAAAATGTGTGAAAAGACAGTTTGATTAAAAAAATCGTACTTATCTTCTTTTACATTGTTTTATAACCTTTTTATTATTAAAAAAAAAGGAGATTTTTTTTCTCTCTTTGATTGGCACGAAGCAAAAGTTAGAAGGGTAGTTAATATTAAGTTGGGTGTAAAAATATTTTGACATTGCAAGATAAACCTGTTAACAAGCAAAGTGCATATGCAACGTTCTCATTCACAACAAACCCTAAGAATCAGTATGGTATTCCTTGAAAATTAAATAAGAAGCAAATTTGTTAGAACCTCATCATGCTTGAATCTTTCATATATCTGTCCCATTTTGTTACGGTATATCAAACTATTCGAAGCATTGTTTCACTTTTTTCCCAACAGAAGAAAAGAACAGTGAAAGAAAAAGACGATGAATGAGAACTAACAAAATCCTATAGTGTGAGAAAACCATAATTTCTGAAATTGGGTGCGAATTAAGAACCTATTATATTAATATTGGTTATATTTTTCACTCCAAACAGTTCATAACAAATCATTTTCTAATTTTCCTCCCTCAAAAACAACAAACACAAATTCACACATCCTGCAAGTCTAATCAATGATCCCATCATGTATTTAATTGCCACGACGTAAGTGGGTAGTAAAATAATAACATAAAGAACCCAAATAAGGAAAGAGAACTATTATTCTATACTACATTTTTTATGATGAATAATCTAATGCAGAGACATAAAAAAAAATATTATCTTAGTAAAATATATATTTTTCACATGAATATAATATCTCATAATAAAACTTCACCCAACAAAATATCAAGGATTAAAAAGAAACACTACACAGAGATGATGAATTAAAATGTACTCCATTAAACTATTCAGAAAATTATCCATTAAAAATACGCCCATCATCATTATTCCAAACACATAAAGCAAAAGGGAAAGAAAAACACAGAAATCAAAGTTCTTACTTCATGTACATATACACTGAGCTAAGGAAAACATGCTTCCCTTCTTCATCTCCCACAGTTCATCACAACTACTCCAGTTTTCTATATCTTTGCAATTCTTTTCACCAATTCCTAACCTTTCAAACTAGAAGACAGCACCATCATCAGAGTTCCTTTAGATCTTGAACCAGCCACACATGATGTACATGAAGGTTTTAAATTTCCATATCCAATTAATATCAGCACAACATTAAAGTTGTGAAACTCTTCTCTGCAATTTAAAATCTTGATATAAGCTCAGTAAGGTGGTGGTCTTCCATGGCCATGAGCCCAAGCAAAAGCCTCATGCCCAACTTGGCCTCCTCCATTGGAAAGAAGATTTGGTGGGAGATTGTACAAAGGCAAAGAAGAAGGATCAGGAATCCCACCTGGAAGGTGGCCCCCACCACTACCACCCCCACCGCCACCACTGCTTCCAATTCCAGGAGGAGACCCTCCCAGAGTACTTCCTCCTTGCACACTGCCCCCACCACCATCGTCTTCCTCCTCTTCAAGTGGCAACCTCTCATAGGTAGCATTAGCAAAAGTGGCAGCTATAACCATAACTGGTCCAGCTGCTACAAGGGAGCCTACAACACTCCCTCCTACTACCTGGCCCTGTCCTCCGGCCAGATACACAGTGAGTCCAGTCGCGCCTGGCGGAGCAGGACCAGGTAAAAACGCCCCGCTTAGGGATAGAATCTCAAACCTTCCGTGAAGTGCCACAACCGCTCCCGGAGCCGCTGGTTGCCGGAGAGTGACGTTGGCCACCGAACCGCTCCCACTGAGGACACACACGCCACGCTGGCGGCGGCGAGCAAACTGGGCTACGCTTTCGGCCACGTCAGCGCCGCCGGCAACCTCCATGACATGGCTTCTGAGGGAGTTTGGGCTGTCCCTGGTGACGAAGATGGGTGGTTTGGGCTTGTTTTTGGACCCGGGTGGTCTCCCTCTTGGCCTGCGAGTTCCAACCTCAACTGCACCCTCTTTGGGTTCATCACCGTTGTCTCTATCTTCTTCCTCTTCCTCTTGTCTTTCTCTGCCGAGGCTTCTTTCGTTGATGGAAAGGTCCATGTGGAGTTTGTTTAAGGTGGAAGATGGTGAATTGGTTGCAGGGTCTACCCCTGCACCCAACCCCACCTGATGACCAGTCCACCAAGGATTAGCCAGAATTGCTGTTGAGAGTGTCTTCTTTGAAGAAAAGAATAATAAGAAGAAGATCTCACAAGTTTTTCCAGAGACACTATTTTCTTACCCTATAATTTTCTGTGTATGCATCATGACTCACAAAGGCAATTCAAAGCTAGCTCTCAATTTGTCTTTGTCAGAACGCAATTTGCCAACTTGCCAGATTAGGTTATATTAGCAATAGGCGATTGATTTGGTTTGTGTCTTCTGAATTCAAGGGACAAGAAAAGTCAAACCCTTCACAGCTAGGTCTTAAGGAGAAATTAACAAAGAGGAGTGTCTCTGTATCCATGACCTAACATAATACGAACACATGGATGGTCTTTCCACTCTCTAATGGACGGAAGGGTAGAGAGAGAGAGAGAGAGAGAGAGAGAGAGAGAGAGAGAGAGAGGAAAGGAAAAGAAAGGAAAGATAGGTGGTGTGGTGCGGTGCTTAGAAGTTAGAGGAATTAGATTCAATGACTCAAGGGAATCAAAGTGAAGGATGTAATGAAAGAGATTAATTAATTAATTAATTAATCAATCAATTGATTATTTAATAAAAGAAAGGAGATGGGTTTTCATCAGACGATCCTTATGAATGTGTGTTCATTTTTTTGACTAATTGTATTAGGAAGTGATCTCAGTGGACCAAAAATGGAACGGATGAAAAAGCCTTCACGGAATCAAGCACAATGATAAATATGAGACATCTTAAGAAAAAAAGAGTAAATAAAAGCAAAGCACTTGAATATAGGTCATAATTATATCATAAGTAGTGATACTTTCATTTCATAGTACTATTTTACACACTGTTTTGTCAAAAAAAGAAAAAACAAATGTATTAACTGTTTTCTTGGGGTGAGCCATGTTGTGATTTGGGGAGCTACAATAAATTTTTTTCCTCCAACACTGTTTGTTTATTTAACTTAATTTCGCTTCGTTCTTGTGACTGACACTACATATGCAATCGTAACAATGTGCCAACAACTAGCTCTGCTTTTGTAGGGTCTTGGAAATTAGGGTTTTGTGGGGTCTCGTGCAGGTGGCCAGGTGGGGAGTGCGTCATTGTCTTGGGACCCAACATTTAACACATCAACGTTCCATTTGAGGAGAAATTCTTATCAACTCGATCTAAAATATAGTTAATATTATGTAAAGACTTTTGTTAGGTTAAATTTCAAAGTAATCAAGAGGTTGTATCTAGTAAATTGTAGCCACTTTCCTTATTTGTTGGTCAAGTTATGATAAGAATAAATATAATAAGAGCGCAAGATAAAAGTAATCAAGAACCGGTCTAATTATTATAATTAATACACAGTTGTAAACAAGAATATGATTCTCGAATTTGTGACATTCAAAAAAAATTTGTTAAATATGTAATAGATATATTTGCTATACATTAATTTCCATCTCTTCTATACCAAAATTTGACTCTCGAGTTTGTTTGTTAATATAATATCTCTTAAAATAAGTCAAAATTTTAAATAAATATTACTGTATATGTTTTTTTTTTTCATAAGAGATAGTTTACTACAAAAAACAGTTTAATAATCTATTAACATTTGACTAGGTTATATAAAATAACTTCAGCATGCGGTAGTATAAAATAAATCAAATTATCAATTTGAAATTGTATACAATTTTAAAAATAATATTTTTAATATATTTGTGAACACTTTCGCTTTCTGCTGCTACCAGATCTTTGGCCTCAAACTCTGACCAGAAATTCGACCAAATACTGATAACAAACCTGGACTCGACATCCACGTGTAGTAGTGGCCTCTGCACTAAACCTCCTTATGCTGAATTTCAATGTATTCTTATAGGGTAAAAAATGATGACTATGATGCTTTAGATCTAGAAAACCCCTGCTGATTTATCATTGAATTGAAGTAATCACACATATGAAGCTCTGGTCTTGGTGAAACCATCTGAGTTTTCATTTTTCCCTATGGATGGAGTGGTGTGGTGAAGATAGTTCAAGCTTGATATGGAAAATTTAATGATGTATTTCATTGCATGGAAGGTATAGTTGAGTCTAAGAAGACATGGATTTCATTGCTGGTGTGGTTGGTTCTGGTGATGATGGAGGAACAAGATATGGTGGAGTTTCGAGCTGTGATGGTGATGAGTAAGGGAATATCGAGAAAGGTAGGAACCAGTTGAAAGCTGTAGTAATAATGTTGAGTAATATTATAATATCACCAAGTCTTTAACAAAGATTGAATATTGACATAAAAAGTGTTCATACGATTATTTATATTTATAATCATTATAAGGTTTAAGTTTTTATAATATTCTTAAATGTAATATAAAAATAATAAATTAAAATATAAAGTAATTTAGTCTCTAAATTTATCTTTCTTTTATTTAAAAATATTTTGTAAAATCTTTTTAAAAAAATAAGCTTATTGTGTGTTATATAAGATTATTGATTAGATTCAAAGAAAGTTTCTTAAGTTCAACTATGATAGATATAAAATATAAAAACAGAGAATATTTGGATATTTAATATGTTATTAGATATTTATATTTTGTATGGTAAGAGGATTAAAAGTGAGAAATGAAACAAGAAATAAGTAAAATTATTAATAGTTTAATTTATTATTTTTAATTATTTGTTTTTATAATGAAATAATTGATTATATAATATAAATATTAATAAAATATGAAAAACACATAACTTTTCTGATATTTCTCTTCATTTCCAAGACAACTGAACTCTTTATTTTGCTACTCTGTTCTAAACAAACGGTTAATAAGAAAGTAATTTGAGAAAATAAATAGAAAAATGTAAGTATTTGTAGATAATATTTTGTGACAGAAAAATAGATAAAAGATAAATTATAAATATTAATTAATATAAAAAATTTGACGTTTGTAGAAATTATAGCTAATAAATTTAAAATGGCATATAAAATAAGTATTATGAATTAGATAGTGAGATTAAAATTAAAAAATTTAAGCTTAAACATAATATGAAGTGGCTTTAAAAACCTAAAACTATTAAAAGCAGCTTTTTTACTAATAAAATATAATTTTGTTAAACCATATTCTAATTAAGTTAAATAGACTATAAATGAGTAAGCTAAATAGACCATAAATGACTTAAAATTCTTATTGACACACACAAATTAGATAACAATCAAAACCATAATAATGACTGTGATGAAGGTTGAATGATGTTATAATAATGATTTAAATAAAAAAAATAAAGTATTAAATTTACTAAACTATTAAATTCGGTTGTTTCACTTCTAAATTAAGGAAAATATCACTAACTAAGAAGTTATATCAATTAAAATTAGTGATTTTCAATTAACTTCATTCAATCATAAACAAAACATTAAAAATAAAATATTGGAGAAAGTGTCATTACTATTAATAGATAAAAAAATTAAGAGAAATAAAATTACCTTTTATTAAATAATTAACAAGAAAAGAAAAAAAAACAATTTTTGATTTACAATGTGTTGTGAGGTAACATTTCTATTTAAAATTTATATATACCATGTTGTCATTTGTGTTTCATAACATTATATATGGGGGAACAATCCTAAGAAATTTTCTATTCAAGGGTGAAAGACATAAATGCAAGAAAAAAAAAAGCAATATACAAAACTATTATTATTCTATTTGAATACATTTTCCTATACAGAACAAGAAAGTAAGAAAGTAAAATACTTAAATCTGCTAAATTATTTTATATGAAGTTATAATTAATTTTTGGAAAAAGTAAATATATATATATATATATATATATATATGTTTCTCTTATATAAACTAAAATTAGTTTATAAATAAATTAAAATTATATTTTAGAAAAGTTATATGAAATAAGTTGATCTCATAAACTAAAAAGTCTATACAAATATCAAAGATTATTTATGATTTTTTTTCTTTCATATTCGTATAAATGTTAGGAGTATCTTAACAATAGTTTAATTTCTATCAAAGTAGCTAGAACACTAAAAGGAACTTTATTTTTTATGAGTGAAGTTTCCATCTAATGTTAGTATCCAGTCATCAAATAGGATATGCTTTGTGAAGCAAAAGATACATAATATGAATTGAATTAAAGAATTTTATAATGATGAGGTGTGAATTTATTGAGATTTTTAGGTTAAATCTTGATTTTATTATGAAAAAGTTCTAAAAGAAAAAACTTGCATTGATTCAAAAAATTAATTAAAATATTCTTTATAATATTTCCAGTTTAAATTCTATAAGATTAAAATGACACGTTCTATCACTCAGTTATCACTATTTTGTGATATATATATATATATATATATATATATATATATATATATATATATATATATATATATATATATATATGTTTTTACTTCCATGTTTTATTCTAATGTTCTCAATTTTTATATATTTTATGTATATGATAAAGGTATAAAAAAGTATTAGCACGTTTTATAATATACTTTATTAAATTCATTAATTAAAACTATTATTTATTGTTTTTTTATTTGATATGAGATATTTAAGATATTTCTCATACATACAAGAAGTCCACATATAAATAGTATAATATACCTACCAATTGTTAAATATAATATTTTATTTTATTGTACAATGTGTATAAAAAATTAAACAACAAAATATACAAAATACGTGAACAAAATTAAAAATAAATTATAAAATAATAACAATTGAGTGATAAAATACAATTATCTTTTAAATTAATGATATTAATAAAAATTATACTGATAACTAATCAAATGAGTTTGTGTGGTTTGTTTTCCAACAAAAAAATTTCTCTAAATTCCTATTCTCTTAAAATAACAGTTAAGGGAGAGATTTAAGGAAAATGGCTATTTTAATGGGATATTATAAGATTTTTTACTATTTAAAAAAACAATATATTATTGCTTTAATTTAAATCATTATAATTAAGATATTATACATAAAATATATGAATGAAATAAATATTTACATGAAATATATTTTATATATAAAAATATACATACACAAAAATATTATAAATTTTTTTCTAAACAAATAAAAAGAATAAAATTATATGAAATAAGACAAAATATATGATGAAGAAAAAAATAATAAAATAAAAATTATATTATAACATTTATTAATTTATAAATAGCATCATTTATTAAATATTACATTAGTTATAAGTTTTAAAAAGAAAATAACCAAGGAAAACAACACTACAACATTTTGTAAATACAAAAGGTGCAAACACAAAAAATTGGACAGAAAAACATTATGTAAGAAAAACGTTAATAGAAAAAAAATACAAATATTAAGAATCTAAATATTTTAAATAAAAATAAAAAAGTTTAATAACTTATAAATAGAAAGGATCCCACGTTGACTATAAATAAAAATGTTTAAATACTCCTAACTAAATGTCTTATGCTATATTTCCATAATATTCAGTCTCTAAATTATAAGAAAAACCACCATGAAAAAGGATAGCCATTGTTACTGAAATATGTGATATTGTAAATACAGAAAATTACTTTTATATCTTTTCTCTTTAAGATGGAAGTAAAAATGACTTCATTGATTTAGATTAAAGTACATTTTTTTAGCTGGAATCAGCTATTAGATAGAAATAACCATTTTGTTTCCAGGTTGGACACCCCATATACCCTTATAAAATATACTGTCTTCATTGGATTAAAAAAAAAAAAAAAAGGAAATACAAAATGAATGTTTGAGGTTATTAAATGTCAAATTTTCCACTAATTAAATTTGAAGGGCGCAAAAAGAATAATTTTGTTCCTTATACTTTATTCTGTGAACATGGAATATATATGTATGTATGTATTCTTTGAATAATGTCTTATGCAGTAACTGGATTTATAGGTGACCATGATATTCGTCTTGGAAAGGTTGTCTGTGTTGTGGGAATTTGAATCTTCCTAGGTGAAGCTGGTGCTGAGATGTGTCACTAACAAAGTTTATAATTAACACATTTTTGAACAAATATATAAAGTACTAATTAGTTGATGAGAGGACACAAATGAAACTATGCATGCAAGGTTCACTGTTGTTTTTGTCTATAAATAAATGTGTTGTTTTTTAATTAAATTCAAAATTTTACTAAAAAAATTATGTTACTATATTTGAACATTAAATCTGATTACAAAACAATGTTAACCAAACCTAAAATTGTGTGTGGAATTTATATCTTTTACTATAAAAACACTTGTCCTATGGTTTCTGCTTTAACCATGTAGTTTGTTTTTTTATGAATAATAATGGTTCCTCCTCTTGTGACATTAGTCTTGTTGTGGGTCAGATCCTGTCTGTGTTAATTAACAACTTCTTAACAATGATTGAAAAGTTTTAACACAAAATAGTAGCTAATGGCATAAAGGATGGAGTGTGTGGCTTACTCTTTCTCCAAAAAAAAAAAAGGGGCAGAAAAAGTTGTGCCATTACAGTATCATTGTTCAAAAAGAGAAACAGTAATTGTTTTTGATTCTGTCTTAAATAGGTAGGTGAGTGTTTGATATTCTAAAACTAATGTAAAGTGTTTTCTTTCTCTATTTGTCAAAGTATTTATGATTTATCTTATGCTATATGATCAGAAGGTTACATTATCTTATTTTCTAACATCATTATACTATTGCAAAAACTTCAAACCCTAATGCTTGTCATAAGTGACTCATATAGTTATTCAACTAAGTTGTTTCCTTATAATAAAAATTATGCTAATATTTATGGCCAACAAGAATATAATGATTTTATATTCTTTATTCAATCACAAATTACTATTATTCTTATCTCAAAATTAATAAAGTCATATGCACATTATCATTTATTTTTATGTTTGATAGTTCTGTCACGATTTATTTAATATATATATATATATATATATATATATATATATATATATATATATATATATATAAAAAAACATTTATAACTATACATTATCTTGACTACTAAGTTTATTATTGTTAAAACAATTGTAGATGTATATAATATAAATTTACTACATGTAATGATTTGTGATTAAATAATGTTGATTAAGTGATTATATAATATAATTTTTTAACAAAGTCTTTATTTGATGAAACAAGTAAACTTTTGTTTTTTATATGTTTCTCTAATATACTTATTTTAAAATAAGTATTTTTTTTATTTAATAAACATTTTATCAATTCAAGTTTTTTTTATATCTCTTTTATAAACTGTAATAAACTATCCAGAGTATTATATTGAATTTAATTTAAATTTCAACATATTTTTTTCTTTAATTTTTTTAAATCAAATTCATACTTTATTTGAATTTTTCTATCACTATAAATCAAATACTAACTACAATAAAAAAATATAAACAAATTATTTTAAAAAATAATAAGCAATATAAAAAAAGGTAAATATATATTAAAAAATAATCAGGAAGAGGACGTTCAAAAACACTTTGTAGATATAGGTTCTTTTCTTGGAAAAATTATTCTGTAATCAAAATATTATACTTCTGGAATGTATATTTTATAATATATTAAAAAATAACTTTAGAAAAAATATTTTTATAACACTTTATAGATACCTTTTTTTATTTCATAACACCTAATTTTAACATAAATATCAGAAAACAAATTATTGCAAAAAATAACAGACAAATTTGGAGTGTTTGGTTTCCATTGTAAGTTTCCAAATTTGGTTTGAAAAGATTCTTGAAAAAGAGCAGTGACTAATAACATGTTTTGTTTCCCATTAGAAGTTTCCAAAATTATGTTTCAAACAAAAGATACACACTATCTCTTTACAAAAGTAAGATTATTCTTTATGAACAAGCACTAAACTCTGGACCCCGAATATGTTTGTTTTTAGTTTTTTTATTTCATCTTTTTTTTTTCTCATTTTAGTTATATGAGTTGATCGGGGGTGGTTTTCTAATAGTATTTTGGGCTTAATCTGATGGACCAAGCTGGCCCATTCAACTTCAAGGTTTAGTTTTGGCCTGTGGTATTGACTTTTGTACATTTACATGTCCCTATTTACTAAGTACACTCTCCTTCCTTTTTTTATATGTTTCTAATTTCAAATATATATTTTTAAACCCTATTTTTGCATGGTAATTATTTGCATTTCGCACACCTGAAGTATAAATTTATATGGGTTTAGATAGAAAACATGAATTTGAGTGTACATTGATCACTCATTATACTTTGAATTATGCTACTTTTTTTTATGAAACTAAGAGTATGCAATGATATTTAATGAAAAAAAAATTGTGCATTATGTTTCCATTCTTAATGTTTGTAAACTCTTCCAAATATCAAAATTCAGTTTAAATGGATTGAATCAGAATTCAACTGAATTTTAAATCAAACTAAATGAAATTATCCAAAGAAACAAATAAAAGTGATTGAATATGATACTTTTTTCTCTCAATATCAATCTAATCAATCCACCATCACTTCCACTTACAATTGAATGTAATCATTTCATATTCCAGGATTTACATAATAAATGGATACAATATAGATCAAATCTATGGTCAACTATAAAAAATTGGATACAGAACCAGGTCAAGAGAGGAAGTATACAATATAGATTTTCCTAAAGCTTCATGTATTCTACAACTTTTTGAAATTACAGGTGAGTCTCAAACTAAATTGGTTCCAACATTTTGCAGCACAAGACCACATAATTTCATATTTTTACTTCCAAACATCCATCAGAAGATCAAACATATGAGCTTTTAGCAACACGGGCCTACCCAAGAGTAAAATATCCAAGCATCCTGCAAAGTAAATGCTAGTCTGCATCAGTGAGTTGTTAACATATTTCTTGTCATATATTACAGGTGTTCAAGTGAAAATGATCCAGACAAATATATTTATGTGGTGCATGGATGAGGAACTTTTGTAGGGCAATTCACCATTTTTTTCAGAGAATTTAAAATGTTTAGTGGTAAAGTATGTTTTTTGGATAGGAAATTTTAGAAAATAAATAAATTCTAAAAGTTCATAAATAATTTGATTATTGAAAGTTATATAATTTCAAATTTTGTAAAAAAAAATACTAGTTTGAAACTCTTCAAAAACTCTCATCTCTCACATTTTAGTTTTTGCTCTCACACTAAATATTTAAAAGTAGCTAATATTTGATATTGAATTTTCAATTTTCAATATATATTTATTTTTTGGATATAAAAGAAATTAAATTATCCCATCCAAACTAAGAGTTTCAAATATAAGAAATTTGAATCGATTTATCTAAACAAATATTTAAAAATGTTAGAAATTTAATCAAAGCAATTCAAATTTTAAAACATCTTAAATTTTCTGAAAAGTTTAAAATTTCTTCTTTCAAACACAACCTTGATATCCCATGATGCAGTAATAGATTCTAATTTTAATACACTCTCTTATTAGTTAAATTCATTTGCCTCTGACTATGTTGTGGGTCTCATGAATTTCATCCAACAAGAGTGTGTGTTGAAGAGAGTATTTGAGAGTGTCGGTAGGGGGGACCTATGTTGCATTGGGGTGTGCAGATGCACCCCTCACTTTGAGAAAATTATAGTCTCTATCTAGAAATTTTGGATTTTGCCTCCTCAGTTTTGTATCCCAGATTATCATTCCAGTGTCCAATTGTCTTTTAAGAAGTTCTAGCAATCCACTATATAACACTATTTTTAATATACATTCTCATATTGACTAAAATTTATTGAAAAATCCAAAATCAGGAGAAATTCTTTAAAGTGAATCGAGACTCAAAAAAAATTGTAGTTTCTAATAAAGTTTAATGTGTTAAAAAAAGTGTGCTGCTAGCATTTCTCGTCTTTTGTTGGCTTCCATTTCATTACATTTTGAGCTTTCAGGTACTTTGAACTTCATTCAGCTACACATTTCATTCCAGTCCATGAGAATAATTATTAATTTTTGTTTTCTAAATAAAATGCCCCTACTAACTCGGGGTCCTAGATCTGCCATTAAAGTTTTATTAGCTTGCATTTCTCACTAATTCATTAATAACAGCAGAAATGAGCCAAAAACTGTACTAATGAGTCCTTACATAGTTCTCAACGAGACTTAGCAGCACTTGCGCTCAAGGATAAGCACTAGAAAACAATGGCTTTGATAGTTTTATTATGTTCCTTAAATATTACCTTGTTTATGAACCTAACGAGAAGTATAAACATCTAATATTAAAGATAGGATCTAAGATTTGTCTCCATAAATATTCATTTCAGTCATGTCAGGGAAACAGTAAAAAGATCACTGAATCATTTTACCTAATAAGATAGTATATGAATATGAAGGCAACTGTGAAATAACCCACATATGTGCACGTCTTCCTCGTTGACTTCTTCTCAAAAACCTACAAAATCCGGTTTCTACACATTAAATCATTTTCCAATCATGTGAAACTAAAAGAAGATAAAATGAGGCACATTAATGCAGAAAAACAGTACCTTCTTGAATCGATCCATGGTTCCCATCATCATACCCCTTGACGCATCCATTTTGTTACCCTAATTTACAATGGAATCCTATTAGAATAAAGGGTTGCGAGTTTTTCACAGAAACATACGAAGTGAATTGTTTACATACCACCCGATCAAGCAACTGGTTATGACTCTCAACCTCTTCATGTATATCACCTGTTAACTGTTGATCAAGTAAATATTAACAGTCCACGAAAATATAAATCAACAGATATTTCATTTTAATGGTTCATCCACCAAATTAGTAAATGAATAATTAGAACCTTATCCAACGAAACCAATAGGCCAAACAATTTCTTAGACATTGCATTAGCAACTGACCAATCATTCATACTTTAAAAGAAACTCCATACAAAAAATACATGCAAATTTCTGTTTAAATGAATGAGATTTCACCGGCAATTACAACCTTCACGCCTTTACACTATCAGTTTTTATTTTAGTAAAATATAGTTCCCGATTATTTGTAATTTTAAACGTTCAAGACAATACTAATGACTATATTTTCACAAATATAAAATATTTGTGAAATTATTTTACAAATTTATTGTGAAATTACCACAAGAGACAAAAGAAGAAGAATAAGCGATGGAGAAATTTATTATTTTTTTTAATTAGAGAGGTAAATGGTATAATATGAAATCAGATAATAATTTAAATAACATTGAGAACAACAATTGTACTTCTTAATTCTTATATCAAACATAAAAGACACTATAAAAGGAACAAGGGTCGTGGCAAACATGCTCACACACATAATCTTGATGAACTAATAATCACAAGCACTACTTGTACTGCAGCTAACATAAATTCAGAATCCCTTAGCTACTAGTCAATTGCTGCCCATTAAAAAAATACAAACACATTCATTTTTACAATGCAGCAGCAAATTAGAAACATGACAGACATTTCCCAAATATTTCAGCAACTGATCCAAAACGGTAATGGGCAAATTAGAAACAACATATGTAACAACAATATAGACAAACTGAAACAAAAATAGAGAACCGGCAAGTAATATTTTCAACCCTAACAAAACTTTTCCATCAGCCTTTCCATTAGTTTGAACTAAGAATTCATATAGGCATGCATAAGACGAGAATTCAATTAATACTTCAATAGTGAAACACTACTCGGATGGATAAAACTTACTCGTTTCAAAAAGGAAACTTTGTCGTGCAAACTCTCTATGGCTTTTTCATTATCATGCTCATTAATTTCACGTGAGTAAGAGGAAGAAGCCCTTAGACCACCCTCCTCTAGACTATCAAAACCATCTACCAGTGATGATCTGGATGAACGATTATCTCTGTATTTGAAAATTAAACAGTTATGAGTTAATATACAAGAGAGTAATACTATTTCACAAAAATTTAGAATAATGAAGAAATCATCTTAAGAAACCTAGACATGAATAAAAGAGAGTAAAAAGTTCAAAACTTTTGTAAACTGAATGAAAAGGTACCAGTGAAATTAACATTCAGACATAAAGAAAAGAAAATTGCATTTGAATCATATCTTCACCCTCTTTGCTTCCTAACAGATCAAAATGCATATCTTTCTTCCAGAAAACCTTTTAATATACTGCAAGAAAACCTAGAGTGGGTACCAGCTCAAGATTTGAAGTAAAAGAGATAGTCTCAAAGCATAGCTCTTTCATAATCATAAACAAGACAACAGACCACAGTTTAAGCTAAGACAAGCTATAAACAAAGAAAGTAGTTTTAGTTTCCAGGGCATTCCTACTTCCCTGGTTTGAAATTGTGGCGTGTAGTGTACCTTACCCCCACAAATTGTTTCCAGTATATAAACCCATGGCCCGAACAAACAACCTTCCTGTTGTACCAAGGGTTGCAATCTTGTTTGGACTCACAAACCATCAATTTTCCAAAACTTGTCAACCTATTAAAATCCTCACTCTTATTTTTTCAGAACCAGTAGAAGAAGCATTAACCAATTTAGCAATTGTTTCACATCTTTCCCAGTAGACATGATAACCTCTAACTCTTAGTTAGGACTCAAGCATATTACTAAATTTACAAGGGCACACTTGGTTTGGATTAATTTTAAAAACAAAATCGATCATTTCAAAAGCCCTACGTGTTTTTGGAACTAGATTGCTTTATTTTGCCTTAAAAACATCCTACAATCAAAATCCTGACTGACAAATTAAAAAAGAAAGAAAAATAATCCCCCCAACACTAGTCGAAACCAGACGTGCACTCTCACTGAATTTTTTACTATAACTTCTGAATACAAAATAAGCTAATCTAATACACTCGAAAACGTTATGATCCTCTTCAACTTCACCTTATTGCTGAATGGCTAATGAATAACTCACATTCATTTCACAGCAATAGTTATTCAAACATCCAGATTCACCATTGCCCCAAAATCTTCAAGCTTACGAACTACCCCAACCTCATACCACACCAAAGGTAGCAATCAGCGAATGACAAAGCACAAACACATGACATGATGCAAGATCGCCCAGGGTGTGCATTACAATTTGCGCCATAAAAATCAAAATGCATAAATTAAAATTGAAATAACAGATTAAAGATAAAAATGTGGCTTTTCCGAAACGAACCTTCTGTAACTCATAACTTGCAAAAGTCACAGGACTCGCGGAGAATTTGATGATTATGTGCAAGATCTTGCTTGGATGCTGAAAAACTGTGAGAAAACGGTGAGTGAGTTTCTTTGTTTCGGGATCCGAGAAAGAAACCTGTGTGTAACTGGATTTAGTTCATAACTCATGAGAACGGCGTCAATACGGTGTCGTATATTTTGATATTTTTACTTCTGAATTTAATTTTATGCATTTTCAAGTGTAACCACCAAAATGTTTTACATTAATTAAAATTATTTACACATGATATCAGAATAAATATTATAAAAAAATTAGCTTACCATACATGAAGATGTAAAACTACATAATTATATAAAAAATTAGAAACATTTAAATTAATTTTGTTATTATGTAATAAATATAGCAGCATTAACTTATAATAACAATCCCAAAAAATAAAATAATTTTGGACAATTATAACAAAATATATAAAAAAATATTAAAAAAACTTACTGACAAATATAAATATATATATATAGTATTTTTAAAATATTAATCTAATTCAACTTGACGTTAGAACATACAAATTTAAGCATTTTAATTCAATTATAACTTACTTTATTATATCACAAGATAATTGATGCAAACCACATAACCATCATAACCATCATGATCCTAGTTTTTATATTAATGATTATATAAATAATGGATGAAGTGTTTACTAAAACAAAATGTTTTCATCACTTCATAATAACTTGGATGAAAAAAAAATTGAAGTATAACTTTTATTTTAATTAAATTACATAAAAAAAATAAAGATAGTGATTCACGTTCATTTCAAGGTAATAAATAAACACATGCACAGATAAAGTTATTTTTCAAGGTCAATAATCTTTTATCTTTCTTAAAAATAAATATATAAATGACTTTGTAATTATATAGTTATTTCATTTTATTTATTTTTTATTTTCATTTTTTTCTGAGACAAACAAATATACTTTTTATATTATTTCTTTTCTTTTATAGCAAATGACATAGACATTAACATTTCAATAAAAAAATTAATATTTTATTTAAACTAACTTCTTCATAAAATCTGAAAAAAAAATGAAATTAGATTATTTATAAACTAAGTTAAATTATATAGAAGATGTGTTGTATTATTATTTTTAAAGATTTTAATTTTAATCTGTGTATAAAAAATTTACAGAAAATTTGTGAAATACCCTGAAATGGTTGATGGGATTGGGAGATTAAGAACTAGTTTGGATTATATAATTGGGTGCATGAGATGAAGAAAAAGTGAGTCACATCTATATAAGAGAGAAAAGAAACATGAGTGCACCATGAAGAGGTGTTGGAAGCTACTGAAAAAAAAAAAATTCTAAGTTTGATAAGAAAGTGTGCACATGCAATTTCTTCAAGAAGGGACACACAGGGGAGTTAAATATTCACATTGAAAAAGCTCACTAGAGAAATTTTTAATGGGGACCACAAGCATGCATTTTCAAACTTTGACAATAGTTTATAAAATTACACATGATCCACTTACTGTTCAAAATATAATGCACTTTGGCTCCTTGAAAGTTTAACTTGTATAATAATGTTAACTTTGAATTTAATCTTTTAACATACATGTGTATGTGGGTCTCTTTTTGTGAGATGATTTGTGTAAGAAACCTATTTTCATGGAAAATACATTTGCATACAATATGTTATAAAAGTTTGGAAATTAGGTTTTTGATTTCCTCATAAGATTTATTGCACACAAAGTTTGTCTCTGACCTTACTACAATGGGTTAATAAAGTGGTATGAAGAATGGGAAAAATTTTGGCTAAATCCCCAACAATGGTAAGAGTTTGAGAGGTACAATAGTACTCAGTGTTGTTTTGAAGAAGCCATTAATTCAAAATTGACTACAAACCATATTGGTGGACAAGTTATAAGTGCTTCCCAAGCATACAACAACCTATTATTAATCACTCCTCTACACTCTCTATGTCACAACCCTAAAATCACTTCTCTCCAATTCAATTGAATTCAAAAGGTTTAGTTGAAATTGGTGGAGTAGTCATAATTTAAAACAAATTTTTGGAAACATGGTTCTTTTAATTGTTTTTTTATTCTTAATTTTATTTTTTTTGTCAGGATTAATTTAGGAATGTGAAAAATAAAATAAAAATTTCAAAAATCACTTGACCAAAAACAATTTAAAGTAATTTTCAAAAGATATTTATGCAAAACTTGATAATATGTGTATGGGTGTGATTTGAAGAACACCACGAGGAAAGCCATATATGTTAACGAGGAAGAAGAATCTAAGAAGTGAGTGTGTGGACCTTGATTTTGAGTGACATAATGAAAAAGCAAGTGATAAAAGGAGAGAAGGGCACCACAACACAACACAACACAACCAAACCCAACCCCCACAAAAGATTAATGGCACCCAACTACACACATTCACACTCTTTGGAGGCCCTTTTATTGCCAAAGTGAGTGAATGAATGAATGCCCTCTTCTACCCACCTATGTTTCTCCACTTCATGTGTCATCTACTTTCCCAGCCTGGACTTAGTAATTATTTATATTAATTCATCTGACATGGTAGCCACTGTTTCTGTTCCCACTAAGATAATAATACACTACTAAATGAGCAAATTAATTCAACTCAGATCTCGCACTATTTCATGAATCTTTCAAAATCTTGGTTTCAATGTCTTGATCTATGTCTTTGTCATTGGTTTGTCTTAAACAATAATTAAATCCTACCATCTTTGCATAAATGGTTTACTCAAAAAATATATCACATATTTTGATTATTTTCAAGGCACACACAATTTGGAGTGATTTTTCATGATTTGCTGATTAAAAATAGTTTGGTGTTAAAGCCAATGCATGAATTTAATATATTATATTGAAGAGGTGCTGCTATTGTATGAAGCAAAATCATGCAGAGTATAATAAAGTTTCAGCTGTGTTATAAATGAATATCACAGGTGACAGCATGGTGATCAGCAATGTCACTGTGCCACTTCAAGTCAATGCAGTCTTGTCATAGTGTGATTTTCCTATGTTAGTTATAAAGTGGTTCCAACAGTGCAGTGACAGCACAAGTCACTGCTTTCATCAGTATGGTAATCTCATCTTGGCCTCTACACCATAGTAGGAAAGCCTTCTCCAACACCATAACGGAAACAAATCATGATGAGATTTGAGCAGAATGAAGCCGATTCTCTAACATGTACAAAATTCGAGATATGTCACAAGGTTGGAGTCTCCAGTCTCTTCTTTCTTGTGGAAAAGTAATTCATAGAATCTTGGGAGAAGTATTGTTTGTGCATCTTTTCGTGATTCTAAAAAGTAGCAGCTGATTTATTAATATTCAATTTTCAGAGAGCTTTATGTAGTAGAACGGTGATCTGGGCTATAAAAGACACAAAATCTCTCAGCTTTGAGGGTGCTATCGTAGCAGATTCAATGAACAAAATTACCAAAAGATGCTACAAATCCAATACTCGTGATTTAGTTCAAGGGTCTATAACAGGTCAAACATGTTTAATAGAGCTCAAAATTTCCCTTCGTGAGTACTGTCTGCAAATTTCAAACAATGTAAAGTCCCTCACTCCTTCCCAAACAAATGATAGCAATTTATATTTAACTATGCATTCATTATGAACCCCCTAGTCAAGTTTAAGGGAGAATTAAATTACAGGCAAGAAAACTGGACCTTATGACTTGGTCACGATACAAAACCAGAATATAAATACAAGCACCAACAAATCAGCACCGGCTTAAAGATTAAGAAACCAATATTAGTTTCTGTGCTATTCATGATAACATTTCTAACAAAGCATGCTCTAAGCAGTAAGCAATCTGTACATAAAAATATATACAAGTTCAGTATGAACTTCTATGCCCCTTTATAAATATGACTGCTTATCCACTGCGCAAGTCAAAATGTAAAATAAATACAATTATGCTTTCCAAGTCTTGAACATTTTTAATCCTCGAAGAGGAAAGTTCTTAGTTCCACTTTGTATTGAGATGATACATCCTCGTCAGAGATTTAAAATAAAGAAAATGGTCACCACCATATTGAAGATTTCAAAATTCAAAATGTAGTCAATTGAGAAAAGAATCTCCACATTGCAATTGCCACTCCATGCACTCTTCGAAATCAAAACTGCTGGCACAATCCAATAGCGCGTTCTGTTGATGCTCATACCGGCATATGTAATTCAACCCAACAAGAAGTTTACAGATTGATTCCTCGGTCCTTTCCCTGTCAGCAAAGTATAACGTCTGAAGTAGCAGAACATTGGTCCGGCTAACAATTTGGTGCTGCTCAAAATTACGCTCACTCTGCCATCTGATCATGTTATGAGCAAGCGGGGCAAGCCACTTGAGTATCCCATCAAGATTCTCCTTCCAGTCATGGGCAAGAGGGGCATCATATATGGCCAAATTCTTGACATATGACTTCAGTTTGGCCTTAAGGGATAGCCTTAAGCTTGTAGGTAGCATCTGATATAGATCATCCCTCGCTTCCTCACCAACTAAATGTGGGTAGCGAAGCAGCTTCTCAATGACAATTATGACATTAGCATAGTGCAATGCTAGAGCACAGCCTCCAAGTGTGGAAGGAGGTGCATAAACAACTAACCTACTTTTGGGACCTAATGTAGAACAACTTTGTACACCAGATTTGGCTTGCCTAAGATCCCCAGTGAAAGGAACACCACTTTGAGCGTGATTTAGAATACCAGAATAGCACACATGCTCCCTCTTCATGCTATGATTCCCTATCCCAACACTCCTACAGCTACTATGTTGGTCCTCCCGGTTGACAACATAACCATCATCAGCTTCATCAAATTTTGAAACTGAGCTACTCAAACTTAGGCATTCCATGAAAAGTCTCCCTGGACTTGTTCCACATGGAAAACCAAAATCTTCAGGTCGAAGAGGAGCTAAATCACCTCTCCTCAAATCAATTTGAGGCCTATTAGCAGTTCCCCTTCTATCTGCTGCAGCCGTTCTCCCAACCGAACCAGAATGAGATCGATTTCTCCTGCTCTGGTTGCGCTTCAACCTTTCTGAACTTGTCAGAACATCAATATTTCCAGACACAAACACCGATTCATTTTGTGAAGCCGGCGAGCCTCCCCCAAGGCCAAGGCCAAGGCCAAGGGTATTCTTCCTCAAAGCGGATTCTCCAAAGATCACAGAAATCCTAGCATAAATTGTACAAACTGTCCTAGCCAACAACTCAACAACCTTATCAAAGTTCTGATTCCAAAGGGAAACATCCTTAAGATGCCTCACATCTTGCTTGTGCCACATGAGCTTCTGCTCAAAAGCCCTCCTACTCTCCTCATGCTGGTTATGCTGAAACTTCTTCACTGCTTGCTCTAACTCATTCAAAACCTCCATCTCACTGTACAAATTCCGAGTCACAGTAACATACCTATCCATTTTCCTCACCATTCCCTCCATGTGCTTAACCAAGAACCCCAGTTCCTTCACATCTATAACACCACCAACAATGTCCCCATACACATGCTCAAACCCTTGCAGGGCAGGCTCAGAGCACTTCTTCCCCAGCCTAGAGACCACACTAGCAACCCTATTCAGCTCCTCAAGCTTCTCTGCCAGAGCCAGCTCGAGGAGATAACCCTCGTCAGAGGACACCAAATTCCTAACACCCTCTGAGCCCAAGATCTCATTCCTCAGCTTTGAGATCTCAGACTCCGACAGTGACCTATGGAGGTGCACAGTTTTGGACATCACATTTGCTACCTCAAAAGAAAGAATACCTATGGTCTCTTTGGTCTCTGACCTCTTGTGGGTCTGTTTCCTCTTTGTCAAAGTTTCAAGAAGAAGGGCATGCTTGAGATTGGAACTTACCTGGTTACCCATCTTTACAATCCAAGCTTCTGCAACCATAGCTGCAGGCACACACAGAGTTTCTTCAAAATGGGGTGTGCCAACACCAAAAACCACTCTCACACTCCCATTTCGATACCCCCAAAAGTCTACACCTTTGGGAACATAGAACAGTGAAAACTGAAAGCTCAAGCTCAAGCTCAGACACTAGAACAGATAGAAATTGGAGAGATACCCATTAAGTGGGAGAAGAAGAAAAGGTCAAAGAATTATCAAAGTTGCAAACTTTGGTTAAATTGTTTGAGGGGTATGGTGATAAATAACCAAGGGTGGGAAAGGAAATGATGTGAATGGAATAGGTAGTGGAGAAGTCAGAGGGTGTTTAAGAAAGTTAAAACATGGGGAGAGAGAAGAAAGGTAGGTGTGGCATGATGGGAAGACGAAGAAGATGGAGAAAAGGTTGAAAATTGTTGCAAGAGAAAGAAGGGTTAGTTAAAACTACTACTGGTTACTAGCATGCGCCACAAATTGAGTGCTATAGCAGGCGTGAGGAGAGGGAAGATGATGGGTGTACTTGATTGAACAGTGCAGCAATGACAAGAGAGAGAGAGAGAGAGAAGTTGTTTGAGAGAAGAAGTGTTGTGTTGTGTTGGTTTTTGAAGTGTGAGAGTTTAGTTTGTTTGATGATTGGTGTCTGGTGTTCAAAAAGGGGTATCAGAATTTTAGAAAGTGGAATGTGGACTAAAGGGGTTTTTAAATTTGGAAGCATTGTAGCTGCTCCATTCGTTCAATTCCTTTCTTTGATTTTCTTCATGTCTGGGTCTTAACTAAGCCATTCATTAGAAATTGGGCAAATTACATTTGACACTCCACGTTTTTTCACCAAATTTTCTACAATACCTTTTCAATTTTTAATTCTTAACAAAACAACACTTTTATAATGCCTATACACATATTTTATAATATTTGTACACATATTTTTTACAAGGATGTTTCTATACAATAATAAATATTTTAATTTTGTATCCTTAACTTTCAAGAATACTATTATTTATGCCTTTCTTTATTAATCTTCATATATTTTATATAAAAAAAAAGTATTGATTGAAAATTAACACCTTAAACATATAAAACAAAAACATTTACTATTTGCCATTTAATAACTTCGAAAATATGTTTTAGAATTATTTGGACCCAAATAGTAGTTTTAACAAAGGTCTAGGTCTGCGAACTTTTGAATCTATTTGGAAGAAACTCAAAATAGCATCATTTTTTTTCCTTTATTCATCAAAATAGGAAGTTATATGTATCCCAAGTTATGATCCCTTTTTTCTTTCTTCACTTTCTATCAGCTTAATGAAATTTCCAACCCAAAAACATGGAAATTTATATGTGAAAGAGATAATTTGATTTTTCTTAAAAAATTGGGTCAAGAACGAAAACAATAATAAAAGTCAATCTAAGAAATTTTATGATCTAACTTAAAAATTTTGATGACGAGAAAACGGTGATGAAATTTTGTTAGACCTACATTTCTAACTTGTAGCTCACGAGCATAACCCTTTGACTATTAATTTTGAAACTATTGAACGAGTCTTATTCTAATGCTCATATTTTTAACAATTTATGTGTTTTGTGTGTAAATTTTATTTTTTGGAGTCTTCCGATTTCACTAAAAAAACATTCTTACAAATTTATTTGCAATTAAATGATCATGTTTTAAACATTGTTCATGTAATATTATCCAAAACAAAAGTAATATTATTTTTAATTAGAATCAAAGTTTAGGTTGCATGAAATAGATAAGCCTTTTATTTTATGGATTTAATTTGTTTTCGAAAGATATTTATGTTTCAATAAAATTGATAAATACATATATATAGCGTATTATAAATATAATTAAATAATAATAATTTTATGCATATTATTAAGCAAAAATATAATAACTTGACGTAATGGGAATTCATTTTATTAGATAAACTAATTAAAAATCATAAGATTTTTTAATTTTATGAAATGTATGGAATTAAGTATTTGAATCAAGACATATCATCTTTATGTATATTTATTGAAGAAAATACTTAATTTACAGTCGAAATTCAAACTAAAGTTGAATAAATTTGAGCGAATAATTATTTTTTTTAGAGGAACTAACATTTAAAATTATAAACATTGAAAACTATTTTATAACTAATACATGAAAAATTACTTAACATGTCTATAAATTCTTTCAAATTAACTATTTAAATCAATTTGTTGCTATTAGTAAAATTGACTTTGAATTTCTTAAATAGAATCTCAAATTCTATTATTTATAGATAAATAAATAAAAAGTGGCTAAAATATCTTGTTGAAAAAGTTAATCAAAAATTTTAAAAATTATTAATTATTGATAAAAAATAGTATATATTTCCCGATAGTAACATTATAATAAGCAAATTTTTTAACTCATTAAAACCCTCTTAAATTTATACAAATATTTAATAAGTTTCGAGTAAATTCATTTTTAAATCTTGTGGGGTTGACTTAGTAGATGTTATCTTATAACAACCTTTCATTCATATTATTTAATTTAAAAATTTGACTTAAAAATTGTGCTTGAAGAATTTACACATTAGTATTTTTATCATTCCATAAGTAAGTATAAATGTCTAATTACTATATAAACTCTTAGTTAATCATTAATAAATTATGTAATTTAAATTATTATTTTTATAATAATAATAATTATTATTATTGTTATTATTACTACTAATTACTTTCCAAAACCCAAAGAGTTGGAAGTGACAAGAAACTTGGAAAAGTAGTTTGAGAAAAGAAATGATTAGGGTCAAAAAGAGAGAAATTAGGGCACCCACTATGGAAATTTTGACTTCTCCTTCCATGCATGTTAGTGCTGTTTTCTTCATCGTTCTAATCCAACTAAACAAACAAACCATTAACGTTGGATCCGACGTGACTTTTGGTCCAAACAATGCATGTCATTTTGAGATGATGAACAATGAACATGTAACAAGACTAGTCATACTAAGATTATCTTTTCACTATAATCTCTCTCTCTCTCTCTCTCTCTCTCTCTCTCTCTATATATATATATATATATATATCAGAATAAATTGACAAATTGCTTAATGTTTATTATACATATCATTAACTTTTTCTTTTCCCCAAGTTTTCCTTTTAATTTTCTTCCATTTTCTTCTTCAAATGGAACATCTAACTTTTTTCCCCACATGTATGAAATGCATGAGATTGATTGAGAATCTTTAAGAGACCATGTTAATATTAATCTATGGCACTATGGTAATGTGAAAAGAGAGAAAAATAATAAACTACACCATATACAAATACAACGTCCCTTTCAGTTCATGCCCTAGCCTGCAAAATATGACAATGGAGTGGTTTTGATTTGTTAAGGACAGTGTTTTTGGATGAAAAGTGACGAAACGAAATAATGAATTTGGGAAAAGACCCTACGAGGGAAAATTGTCAAAAGTTTGCCCTAGTGGGATTTGGTGCCATTGTATTGTTTTTTATTAATTAGTGTATTAATTATTAATTTGGAAAGTTACTTCACTTGGTGACCAAAACCAAACCAAACCACTTCGATATTCACTCTGCAAAAGGGCAACCAAATAGTGACAAAAAGAAAGATGAACCTAATACAATCTCCATGCTTTTTCCTCACTAATCATTCAAAATTATAAATAATTTCATATTTTTAAAATATATATTTAATTAATATAACAATTAAGATTATTTATTTGTTTATTGGGTACAATAATGGATTAGTATGTAACTATTAATTGAAAAAGAGGGAAATGAAAACGATGTAAATATAATAGAAGAAGAAGAAGAAGAATGGTCCCATCCCATGTTCCTCTTTGAGATTGGATGAATGTTGGAATAATAAAGTTCTCTTTTTTCTCATCATTCTTTTCTTCTCCATTTTAATAAATACATCACCAATCATTTTTATTTTCGCTTTTCCACTCCTTTTTCCTCGAAAGGAGAGTAAACAAACTTATCTGCACTATATAATAATTATAAGTGTCTGGTGTCGTGATTGTCAAAAGTGTGAAAAGTAATAATAGCCATTGGGCTGAGCCCAATTAAGTTAGCTGGCCAGCAAAACCAGAACATAAAAGGAAAAAGCAGGCTTGGCCCAAAATATTTAGAACCGGAAAGATCCGACAAAGAGAACAAATAAAAAAGACTGGGCCAAGCCCAATGCACACTCTACCGAACACAATGTCAAAGACATTTGATAGATACTCGTTTTTATTATAAATTATAAATTAAAAAAAAATATTTTTTTAATCATAATATAATATAATTTACGAGTTTAACAACTATATAACCAATTAAAAAAACAATTAACATAGTTTTTGGATAGTTATTATAAAATCAAACAACTTTAATGTAGAAAATAAAAATGTAAAAGATTGAAAGTAAAAAGAATAGAGAGAAATTAAAAAACCTGGCTTGGAGCTAAGCCACGAGGTTGTTGCTTGGCATGTAGAAAATAAGTTAAAGGTAAGATGGCAAAGATGTCAGAAGAAGTTTTATGAAAACTTTTGAACTTAGTCTAAAAGTAACAACAATATTAAAGATTGCAGAATATATGCTCTTTTAACTTTGCTATTATCAACATTTGACCATTTTTCTTTGTTTAATTCTCTCAGAATTTTCCACAATCTTTTTCCCACTTTTGTGTTTCTCATGTTTTGTTACTTGTTAATCATCTGGATCCAACTCATTTATTTTTTGATTAAAAAAATAATCTTGATATAAAGAGTTGATTAATCATTTAGAATAAGAAAAATCTCAATCTGAAAATTATTCTTAGAAAAATCAAACCGAAATCGACAAGTAGGTCCAACACATTTATCATATCATATGCGATGTTCCTGGGTTTGAAGTCAGTTGTTCCACCACACGTGCACACGCACTCACTTACGCCTTTTACTTTGAATAATAACGCACACTCCCACATCAACACTGTACTGTGGAAAGTAACCTTTTCCGAATCAAAACAACAACAATAAAAACTTAATATAATATTTACATTATTTTTCCAAGATACAAGATACCATATTTAAGTTTGCATCGAATATAGATTATGTTATCACATAGAATGATAAGTTAAATAACAATGTAGCAAACATAGACCCTGAAATTTTATTTGCATATCGATAAAAAAAGAAAAATTGAGGCGACAAAAGCACAAATTATGTGAGAAAAAATTGGCAATCACTAGTTGGTTTTGTATGTGCTTAAATGTGTAGTGTATATAGTTTGGAAAAGAAAATGGAGAAAGAGTAAGAAAAAGAAAAGAAAGAGATGGAATATTTGCTTGGGTTCTTTAATTTCTTTTGGAATATGTGAGTGTGGCCATTCAAATGGGATCAATCTCCACAATCTCGTGTCTTCAAAAGTTGGTGCTGATACTATTTTTTTGCTTTGACTACACTGCTACTTGATGAACTTCGTACATAAAAAAATCAGTATTGTTTTTTATCTTCTATTCTTTTCTTTACTTTACACTCCTCTTTTAATCTTATTGGGTATGCTCAGTCATTTTAAAAAGCACTTCAAATAATTGCTTAAACCTACTGTTTATAATTTACAAACATGAGAACAAAAAAAAAAAAAAGTTTGATTTAACCTCTTGTAAAATTTGAGATTAAAATGTTATTTAATTAAACTTAAGCAAACATGACTACGTTTGGATTTTCTAATTTTACTTGATATATAACTTACACACGGTTTATATTTTCGAATAATATAATTAGTCATAAATTATGAAATATTTATTTTGTAAATTACCTTAATTCAAGTTATTAGATTCTGTGCACATTGATATATAGAAAGTCATATTATAATACCTTTAATGTCCAAAATTTATCACCAAACTCAGAACTGAGAGCAATGGGAATATAACTGAGAAATGCATATGGTAGCTGCAACTGTGATGATAGTAATGGCATACCAAGGCAATAGGCATCATTAAATTGTTGTCTACTTGTGTCCTCTCTTCACATGTGCCATAGACACCATTTCTATCTTCCTCTCAGCTACACATGCTGCTTAGGGCTACATAAATTAATTTCCATGCCTCTCTCAATAAAACTGCTGCTAATAATTTCTAATCATGAGAAAATGACTTATCTCTCAGAAGAAGCTCATTTTTGTGTCACGGTCCATACCTTAAACACATTGTTCTTGTTATTAGATTTAAAGAATCCTTAAATTTGTGATGTTGTTTGTTCTTCTAATCCAATATTTCACACCCAAATCACTTTCCACAACAAACAAGGTTCTAGGTGATAGTAGGATTGTCCTATAATTTGGAGGCACATAATTACTGTAAAAAAAAAATATAATAAAAAAATAGTCGATCTCAAATTCCTATGGCACACAAAAACAAGACAATTTATCAATCAATCGACAATATATTAAAAGAAAAAGAGGTGTCAACTTCACAACCACAAATGTCAAATATATACAACTATTTATCCAAACACGATTCATATCGTCACCGTCTACGATGTTTTCAAACCATCTTATCAACGTTCTCCACATTCATCAACACAATAATTCAATCACTACACGTATAAAATACCAACTCATCTTTTAAAAAAAAAAATACCGATTATAAATCTTGATACTTACAACCATTTTCTTGTTACTTTTTTATAATAAATGTTTTTATCATATTGTTAGATACATATTTTCCTAAGTTGATTACAACCGTTGCAAATTCGATTATAGAAAGCCACATGATAAATAAACTTTCAATTGGATCAAATCACTGAAAATGAAGGATAGGATAATAAGGCTTCCATTACACACTTACATTTCTTCTATTGAATAAGATTAAATTATAATGTTAATAAATTTTTGTTTATTTATTTATTTTCATTGCTTTAATGTTCATTTCAAAAAATTCACAATTCTTTTTTCATTCTAATTTATTAAACTATTTCTTAATAACATATTAAATTTTAAAATAAATCAGATGAAAAAACCCGTACAAATTAGAAATTATACCTACATTTATTATTTGATTAAAATATTAAAACTAAAACGCGCAAAAATAAGAAATTAAACATAAACAAAATTATAGTTTAACACTCCTATCATTTTAATTTGCTTTTTATATTTTTATCTCTATATTAAAAAAAATGAAAATTATAAGTTAATTTATTATTATAGATTTTGTGCTTTAGTTATCTAATTGAACTTTAACTCCCAATGTTTTAGTTAAAATGTAATAAAGGGATAATTTAATTAATTAAAATATAAAAATAAAAAAATCGTTAAAAATTGAAGATCCATCCACAATTCCACAGATTTTAAAAAATACATAAAAAAAATCACAAATTGAGAATTAAAGAAAACCAAATCTGTTGTAAAAATTGTAAGAATTAAAAAAAAAAACTGAAATTACAAATTGATATTACTCTTATAATATAACTTATGATGAAGCTGTATATTATATACGTGTGTACAAAAAAAAATTGAAGATGAAAATGAAAATGGAAACAAGTTAGATGACATAATCATTGTTTTCTTAATTATTTACACGTTAACGAAGGGTGCAACCACCGACGGTGGTTCGTAGCAGAACGGAGCCGCCGGATGCTGCCACTTTTTGAAGACTATTTTCTCTGCCGGTCGCTGCTGCGGCGGCTCCTCCTTCTGCGCCGGAGGAGGGGGCGGCGGCGGGGACGAGGCCAGCGGGGAGAGAAGCGGGATCGCCACGTTCCACTGGACGGTGCGGTTAATCTGGAGCGACGACGGAGCACGGGTCTGCAGGCGGCTGGGCTGGCGGCGGGCACGGTGGGGCTCGGCCATGGAGATTGCGGCGCGTGGTGGCGCGAGTGAGATTGATGGCGATGAGAGAGGAGGTGAGAGAGTAGTGTGGTGTGGTGTGTGAGAGAGAAAATGGTGGGTAGAGGTTGAGGGGTATAAATAGAGGAGCGTGCGGTGCACACGTTTGGAATCTCAAACTTAAATCATTGAACAGGCTCGGCTCGGTTGGTTTGGTTCATCTGGCGTGTGGCTCGGCTTAGAAATGTTTTTCTATACTTTCTCTTTTGCATTTATAAATTTTTTCTTACCTATGGTTAATAAAACGCACTTTGTATTTTTTAAATCAATATTTATATTTAATAAATTATATATATATTTTTTAAATATTTTAATAAATTAATATATGTTTATTGTGATGAGGAGTTTTCTATTACTGAAGAATAAATGTCAATGATAATTTATATATATCATCTTTTCTTAATTTATTGATATATTTTTTAAAAATAAAATTATGATGAACGAGAAATTCAAAGCAAATAATACATCGAATATCATATTCTTTTAATTCAAGAGTTTTAAAGCGGACACTCGAGACTCCTTGAGATACCTTCTAAGAACAAAACTATGATGAACGAGAATTCCAAAATAGATAATATCTTAGAGGTAGCAGACATGAGGTCGGGACACTCTCATTCTTCAATAAAATATTAACTGTCATTGTGAGGTCGAGAGTAGAATCTTGCTCCACTCATACATGACCGAGAGTAAAATCTTGTGTCACTCGTATATACACCATTTAATCCTCAACTAGGAGCTCGTTACACTCATAAGTCTCATATCATTTAGGAGTCGAGGTCAAGGGCTCCATGAGGTTGGGACATTCGATATACTCGTAAGTCTCATATCACTTAGGAGTCAAGGCCAAGAGTTTCATAAGGTCGGGACACTCTCGTTCGTTATTCGATGGAACATTGAAGTCTATTATGAGATCTTTTCGATCCATTCATACATTTCATTTAATTCTTAACTGGAGCCTTCTTTTGGCTCTATTCATACATATCATTTAGTTTTCAACTAAGAACTTATCTTCCGATATACTCATAAATCATACATTACTATTTACGAGTCGAGATCAAATAACTTCAAAATAGATAATATTTCCAATGTAAGAATTGACTTTAATAATATAATATTTATTTAAATATTTTATTGTTTGTAATAAAAAATTATTAAAAATCATAATTTTTAACTGAATTTAATGAATTCAGCGTAATAATATAAAGAGTGTTTGAAGCATTACTATTGTTTTTCATTTCGTTAACACTATTTTATTAGAATGGTGAGGAAGATATTATTTTTACCACTTTATTTACGTAGAATATTATTTAATTTTGTTAAAAAATATTTTTTATTACAAAAATTAATAATCTTTGGTAGGTTGTTTCCTTTTTAAGTATACTTTTCTTTGTCTTTTTATAGATATTGAATTTAATTTTTCTCAATTCAGTGACTCATTAAATTAAGAAGTGAAAATCGTTAAATAAAAATGAGGCATGTATAAAAATGTTTTTTTTATCCGTTTTATTGTTAAATTGTAAAATTAGTAATGATAAATGTTTTGTGAAATTGGAAAGTATAAAATATTTTAAACAATTCATTTATAAAATATTTGTTTTTATTTTTAAACATATCTCACTAAAAACTTGTTATGTTATAATCTCACATAACATAAGTTAGGTAGACACCAACCATTAAAAGAAAAATAAAAAAGTCTAATCCTCACTATTCAATATTTTTTAAATAGTTATATAATAAATTCAAAGTATTTGTTAAATCATGTATTTTTTTTATGTAAGATATATTTTTTATTAGCTTAATTGTATTCCTTTAAACATTATTAACGTTATTAACACATTTTTGTTATATGATTTTATCATATTTCAAACACATTCAAATAAAAATTGTACTTTTAATTAATTTAAACTTTTTTTTTCATAAATTTTTTAGGAAAATAATCTTAAATTTTAATAATAGTTTTATTTCATAAATTGGTGACATTATTATGGTCCAAGGAAGGTCCTTGTCGTAGCTTCTGGATTTGCAATAAATCCAAATCCGGAGTGTTTTTGACTGGTCAAGTAGGTAAGATGTTACATTCAACTTTAATCCCATTCTAAAAATGAAAAAGATAAAATAAAACTAAAACTAAAACTAAAATTTAAATTTAAAATTTCTGTTTAAATGTTAAATAATTGATTAGTTATTTATTAGGAATATTGATACTAAGTGGTAAAAGTATGTTTGTAGTTTTGATTTGAATTGACACAGAAATTTAAATACAATGTATTGATATTATTCTTTTCTTTTTTTCTTGTCTTTTTTACTATTATTATTAACAAATATTCTAATCAATTTTTAACTAATTATTTTTAAAAAATTGTAAACTTTTATGTACTATTTACACAATTGTATATTTATAACTCAGATTTAAAATTATTATGGTATAAAAAATTAATTACTTATGAGTCTAGTTTTGTCAGATTTAAATTTGTTTAAGTTGAATTTGATTGATTTTTCATTTTTTTATTTAATTACAAAGATAAGATGAATATTATATTACTATCTTATCTAAACTTTTTTCGCACTATAACATAATATTATATAAAATAAAAAGAGGTACAATAATAACTTTTAATTTAAAAGTAATAAATTTTTAAATATATTAAAGTAGTAAGACGTGCCCTTAAAAAGTATAATGTAGATTTAGTAATAAAAATATAAAAATTGCATATAAGTTTTATAATTTCACAAATATATAATAATGTATATCACCGGAAAGTTAATTTTATGAATGCGATATTATTATTTTAACTAAATAAATAACGATTTCATACAAAATATATCTAAAATGAATTAATTTTTAAAATATATAAAAGAAAATTCATGATAGAAAATAATTTGTACATATAAAATATTTAAATAAAAGATTTTTTTTCTATATTATCATCCAATCTAAGTTAAACCAACTCAATTCTATTAACTTTCTCCTTTCATCAAAACTTGTTTTAGCCAATAGGCTATGTTTTCAATCTAGATCATTCATTTAATAACTTCATTCGAAAAATAAGTTTTTTTTTTTTAGAATCAATTTAGGTCCAAGTTTTGTAAAAGTTGAATAACATATTAGCAGATACTAGGAATCTAATTTTCATTCATTAACTTGTTTTTCTGAATCATCAATATTACAGTTTCTCAACTAAAATACATCATTTCAACTACTCATCATCAATTTAGACACAAAGTGTTTGCTCATTGGAAATAATTGAATCTCAACCAAATATGATCTACCAACCAGAATCCCAGACACTTTTCAAAACCTTGTCAATATCACCAAATTCACCACCAATTCCAAGAATTTCAATTCCATACTCAAACAGAAATTCCAATAAAATCTCCTGTATAATTTATAATTTATAATTCATTTTAACTAGTAATTTTGTTTAAATATTTCTTACATTTTTAAAAATATTTTTGTGATTAGATACACCCCCAAGTGTTTATTTTAAATGTATGAAAATTCATTAAATATATGTAAGATTTTTTTATTTATTTGCATGGATGAGTGCATGTTTTGGTGGAATTTCGATCGATTTCGATTCTAAGGGTGTTTTGGTCCTAATCAAAATTCTACCACGTAAGTTCTTTTTACTTAGGCTAGCAATTTGATTTTCAATCGAAAACGCGTATGAGAATTGAAAACTACAGGATATCGAAAATGTGGTTTTTGGTATTTTATGTCTAAAATGCTTGACTCAAACAAAACAGTAAAGTATCGAATCGAGCAAAGAGAATATTAAATTGCAAGAAAGTGCGAAAACCCCGAATTTGCAAGAAATTAAGTTTGCGAGATAAATAAAGGACAGGAAATCGAAATGTGCGGGAAATGTAAATTGCTAAAACCCATTAAAATTGCACAGAAAGTAAATAACAGGAAATCGAAATGTGCGGAAAATGTAAATTGCTAAAACCCATTAAAATTGCACAGAAAGTAAATAACAGGAAATCGAAATGTGCGGAAAATGTAAATTGCTAAAACCCATTAAAATTGCACAGAAAGTAAATAACAGGAAATCGAAATGTGCGGAAAATGTAAATTGCTAAAACCCATTAAAATTGCACAGAAAGTAAATAACAGGAAATCGAAATGTCATTGAATGTAATCTACAAGAATATGAAATTGCTGAATTGAAATGGCTCGAAAGTAAATTACCAAGGAAAATATAGAAAGCGATAAATGTACTCAGTGAGCAAGGAAATCCAGATTGCCAGAAACTTCATGGTGTTCGTCGTTTCTCCGGTAGACTTTTCACTACTGATTCTGTTCTCTGCCAATTTCCCCCCCGTTCCTTCCTTCTTTGCTCTATTTATAGGGCATCTTTCAAGCCTTCCAAGAACAGTTAACACGACTGTTACCACGTTCTACGTGCGTATGGCAGTTTTTCTTCTATTGTTTCCCCACGTTCCCATGATTTTTGGCTCTTCCATAACTTAGAAACTGCTTTCCATGCGTGCGTTTTGACTATTTTCCTTCAAGGTTTAACCGAGGTTATGATATCTACGAAAACGAGCCTTCCCTTTGATTTAATCGAGAACTTTGCATCCTTGGTATCGATTTATTTTAACTTTAACTCCATGTTAAGCTTTCGACTATTACACCTTCTCTTCCGATTTTACCTTTCGATTTTATGTGTCACGTTCTTTATAATCGGACATCAGGAAAGTTCCCTTTCGATTCATTTCTCGATCAGGCTTCTCGATTCCACACTAACAAAATGCCCCCTTGGAAGAATATGAATAGTTTATTTATATTCTTTCAACATTTCCCGCCTAAGTGTTCGGAGGCCCATAGAACTTTAGGGTTTAGGGTTTCTGGGGTTCTAGGGTTAAAAGGGTTTTAGGTTTCCCTTTCCGTTTTACGTCGCTATCATATCAGTCTGTTGCTTTTACAGTACATTATATTCATTACTTTTCGTATCTGTCGT